GTAGATGGTATATATATTAACTGTAAGCAATATTTCCGCCTCCTCGTCGCCAAAACAAATACATGAAACCCTCTCAGACAGTACTTCCACCTAGATAATATACATGTATATTCAGCATGCCATGTAGCATTCAATATTGCTAAGAAAAAGCTAACTCAAGCAGGAAATACAAATTTTTAATTGTGCGCCGACTACGAAAATGTTATTTAATATATCATTCAACGTGATTCAATATAAAGGAAACAGAGATTACTGCATACTGTATATTGCAGTTTCAGTATTCTTTCGGTTGTACTTTTTTCCAAAAATTATTTACATTCCGTTCCACGCGACGAAACGGGAAAATTAGTTTCATCGGTCCATACAATGCGTGATAAAATTCTATCGTCGACCCAGTTCGAAAACCGCACGCAGCCTTCCGGTAACGTTATCCCGGATGCCTCTCGGATTCGCACAGCATACCTCGGATCGGAGACTTTGAAAAACGATCAAGGAACCATAACCGCAGCAGAGCTACAGAGTCGCCTTTGATCTAACGAGAACGCGGACCTCCAGTTTCCTTTCCGGGTACTACATTATCCTGGCCAGTCGTCAAAAACCGTTTCGAGAACTCCATTAACTCGAAAATCGAGAATTTCGCTCGTGAGAGAAGCTTACGTCTTCGCGACGTACTTCGTTCAGACGGGTCCAGCTATGGAACGATTCTATCTAGAATGATTTTATTCAATTTCATAGTAAATCCGTTTACCTCTTTATCGCCCAACTGATGAACCCTGCAGTGAAGAAAAGCCGTCTGGCCGACTGCGGTGGTCACGTTTCGCGGTAGATTCATCCCAAAGGTTGGCGCATTAGTTACGTTATGATTGCCGAAGGCAGTTCCTCCAGGCAGCTTCGGTTCCCGAGCAAAATTACCTGGAAAAAATAACCAGAGAACCGTCAGCATCGATCCTCGTCGCCTTTCCAGCGCTGTACATTCTTAATCAATTCCAATTCCAGGACGAGCCTTCGGAGAGAAACATCTTTCGATTATCGCTTGAAATTAGAATCGAAGAAATGCACAAGGCCGCGTAAATTACGTTAGAATCGCACGCAATCGAGTACGTACGACTTATCGTCACAAAGAGTACTGTCGTAGCACACGAAGATCCTTTCTAATCTTTCTCTACTTCCACTTTCGCTCCTTCTAACGCTCGTTACCGACTCATCGTCCGGTTCGTTCCCATCGCGATTCGCGCACGTTACCGAAACCCGTAACATTCGTTGGTCTAAAATACAGATAACTGCGTCAATCGAGAGTTATGAATACGAAACAAGTAGCAGGTCGAGCAACGAGGATCGCTAGAGAGAATGAGCTCTGAATCCGTGAATTGATTTTGCTTTTTTAACAATTAACCGCAATAATTCGGTCCGGCGCGCAATCGTAGCTTGATCCGTAAGGCGATTAATACGAGTAATTGGTGTTTATTCTATTGTCGCGTTGATGCTTTCATTCGGACAGCGCGCGATTTATCGTGCACGTTTATTATTCGTAACGCGACCATTAAATTCGTTCGGTATACGTTTACTGTAATTCAGGAAGCGGTAACTTGTTCTACGCGGTAACAACATTCAGCGCGAGCACTAATTAAGGTAACAGGTACAGAAATATTTATAGCGAACGACGCGTATAGAAATATCGATGCTATAAAATTGAACGTGTCGTGTATCGAATAATTCGGCAAGAGCCGGTGTAGCTGTACGTGGGAATAGCGTTAGACGTTGGGTTAGGTCCGGATTAGCGTAGGTCGCCTAGCCTTACTCAATAAAAAGGAAGCGAATTACGCGATGCAACGAACGCTGCTATCAAATTAAAAGCTCTTTCGCCGAAATGATGGCCGGCCAGAGACTGACGTTTTTATAAAAGTATCGAGCAAATTAAAAAGAACCGATGGTCGAGAACGAAGAAACGAAGGCAGCGTTAAATTAAAGAGCAAGCCGAGGTTTCTTTCGACTCTCCAGCCATCCCTTCGAGGCAATTACAGAGACTTCGACGTTACAGAGTTTAGTTTTGTTTGAATGATCCCGGCGAGACCTGCCGCGGATCCAGAATCGATACCGCCGAGCTCCCGGACAGTGTTTGCACTTTGCAGATGAAAGCTCGACGTAATTTTTGTCATTCAACAGAGAGATTTTATCAAGCGAATCGCGCATGCCTCTTCCGGAGACCCTCGGGAAACGTTCCCATAGCGATTGACTGATTCCAGCCACTTGACTCTCTTGGGGTTTCACATTCGAGTCGGCGAATCGGTAATCAATATCCTGAAGAGATAGTTTTCACAGCGGTGCGCCATGCGCCGGTGACTCTTCAGGCGAGATAGCGGCACGTACGTCGATTTCCCTCCGACTCCGTCGACGAATCTATTTGCCTGTCAAATATGCGTGGTTGTTTCTTCTTCCTTGACTCGTTTCACGTTTGGTTCCTCCTCGACGGAACGTTTCCGTTAAACAAATCTCGCGAATCCCGGATTACGGCAATTTTCTACGGGACGCTCGCTCGCTCGCTCGCTCCGGTACTCGAAGCTGAGAAGCTCGCGTCGAAGGATAATGGGAGCGGATGTCACGGATCGATGCACCTAGGTGCACACTAGGTGGAAACAGAGAAAAGAAATTAACGAAATAGGAGACGCTCGTACGACACGACGATTACCGATACGTCGCGGCGATACTTTACAGCAGCAGTCGTGAAACAAGACTCGTCGGTCGGATATCTGACGAGAACTGTCACGGCAATCTTTGTGCCGGCAGCTGTTACAGCAGCGCGTACGCGTGTCGAGGGAATTCAGGTCGAATGGAAAAGGATATTCGGTTTCGAATTTTTGTTTTATCGGGCCTCGGTGGAATACTGTTCAGCGTCGGCACGATGGAATCATGCAGATTTTCCTTTTCCGCGACGATGCAAATTTTATTAGCTCCCTCGAAGTTGTCGGATGTCTATGTCGGTTCCGTACGTGGAAATGGCCGCTCTCTACCACTGTATTCCAAGTCGAACCGATCGCGATACGACTCTAGCGGGAAAGCTTCTTGCGCGGTACGCCGTTTGCACCGAACTATCGATAAACAGAACTTGCGTTCGAGTTGGGGCGCCTCGGCGTAAGAGCTTTAACGATTAATCTTGGAGAAATTAACTACGACGCGATCCGAACGGTTCTCGAATTCGATCGTTCTTGGAAAAATAGTATTGACAGAGAAAGTATTAATGCTCCACTAAAAGGTACGAAACGTCTTGGAGTACGAGTTTAGTGAATCTTGTTCATTTGTGCGAGTGTAAAAGACATGGAAATTTAATATGTCGTTCAACGTAGATTGATATTTAATCATTTAAGGAATTTTATGTAGAACTGTCGAGTAGTCGTGTAAATTAGCTAGAAATTATTTCAGACGTTTTAGAGCAGGTTTAATATTTTTTTATTTCGAAAATTACAACACAA